CCTAAATGGCTTGGGTCCAAACTATATCAGGGACCGCCTTCTCACATACAATCCTCCCCATGCACTTCGGTCCTCCGGGAGGAATTTGCTGCAGCCTCAGAAATCGAGGCTAGCGGCTACCTCCCAGAGGACTTTTTCAGTCGTTGCCCCTAGGCTCTGGAACAGCCTGCCGGACGAGATCCGTCTATTAACATCCTTAGACAGCTTTAAAAAGGCTGTCAAGACGGATCTCTTCCGGCAGGCTTTTCCAGACTAGTTACCCTCCTTAGATGAGTTATCCCCCCTCGAACAGCTATTCCTGTATAATTGATGTTCCTCACGTGGCCCCATCATTGATGGAAGGAGCATTGAGTCAGGCTTTAGTTAATCTGGGTACTAGGTTTTAATTTAATTTTTTGTGATGTTTTAAATGATCTGATTTAATACTGTTTTAAGGGGGGGTCGGGGTGTTTTTTGTATTATATGTTTTATTGGATTGTATATTTTAAAATTGTAAGCCGCCCAGATTGGTGTACCATTGGCACGGGGTATAAATATAATTTATTATTATTATTATTATTATTATTATTATTATTATTATTATTATCCCTTGTGATGAATGTAAAAGGATGCTCATGAAACATAAGATCTCAGCCCTATATTTTATGTTGTACAAGTTTATTTCCTACCTTTGTTCTTCTGTAAAAAAAAAAAAAAGAATAGCAGAAATGTTTTTAACTTTGTTATTAAAAGTATAATAAAGTGAAAGCAGAGGGGCAACTGTATAAAAATGGATACCACATAATGGATGCTGTACATCAAGGGAATATCATTATAATGGTATAGCTTAGCATGTGTATTCCTGCATGCAGGGGGTTAGACTGGATGACCCTTGTGGTCTCTTCCAACTTTATGATTCAGTGATTTCTTATCTTATCCCCTTTCCAGATTTGTCCATCTTACAGCTCCCATCACACAAAATTTCTGTAAAAAATGTTGAGAAGTTGGGATAAATATATAGGATCTTTTTTAAACTATCAAGCACCACAAGGGTTTTATGAGTCATTCAAATAATCATTTCCCAGTTTTAAAATGTACCACCATTTTATGCTGATAAATATCAAGATAACACAAAGTAAACTAAGGTTTTTGAATTACTCATGAGATGGATTCATCTAGGGTGTTATTATTTTTAATAGGAGAACGGGTGAAAATATTTCGCTTTACTAAGGTCTCTCTTTTATTAAAT